GTGATTGTCTGGAAGCCATGGCCATTCTTATTTTACTTTGGAGAAGCAGCAGCTGTTTTCTCTTTTTCCTCTCTTCAAAGTTTAAATTTTCTTACCTAAAATTTTAAATTTTGAGATAATTGAGGAATCCCATGTGTCCTCTACTCAGTTTCCCATGGAAGCATCTTGCAAAACTATAATATTACAACCAAGATATTGATGTTAACACAGTCAGGCTACAGAACGTCTATCACCATGAGGAGCTTCATGTTGCCCTTTTATAGCCATATCTACTTCCCTCCCATCCCTATCTTCTCCTTAACTGATGGCGACCACTAATCTGTTACCCATTTCCATAATGTTGTCATTTCCAGAATGTTATATAAATGGAATCATATTTATGTAACTTTGGGGGATTGGCTTTTCTCACTCAGCATAATTCTCCGGAGATTCATCCAGATTGTTGTGTGTATCAATAGTTCTTTCTGAGTGTATTAGTCCATTCTCACACTGCTATAAAGCTACTACCCGAAACTGGGTAATTTATAAACAAATGAGGTTTAATTGACTCACAGTTCCACATGGCTGGGGAGGCCTCAGGAACCTTACACTCTTGGCAGAAGAAAAAGCAGGCAAATCTTACATGGCAGCAGGCGAGAGACAGTGAGCAACAGCAGGAAAAACTATCGTATAAAACCATCAGATCTCATGAGAACTCACTATCATGAGAGAAGCATAGGGGAAACTATCCCTGTGATCCAATCACCTCCTACCAGTTCTCTTCCTCAATACCTCGGGATTACAATTTAAGATGAGATTTGGATGGGGACACAAACTCTAACAGTATCACCGAGTAATAGATCATGGTAAGATATACCCCAGTTTATTTAATCACTTCCCTGTTGAAGGACAAGTGGATCATTTTCAGTCTGGGGCTAATACAAATAAATAAAGCATCTATAAACATTTATATACAAGTCTTCATTTATCTGGGATAAATGCCCAGAAGTACAATTGCTGGGTTGTACAGTAGTTGTATGTTTAGTTTTTGAAAGAAACTGCCAAACTGTTTTCCACTGTGCCTGTGCCATTTTAAATTCCCACCAGCAATGTATGAGTGACTCAGTTTCTCTGAATCCTTGTCAGCATTTAGTATTATCACTGTTTTATTTTAGCCATGATAGGTATGCAGTGATTCTCAATGTGATTGTAATTTGCATTCCCTTAATGATGAGCAGTGAGCATCTTTTCATGTGCTATTTGCCATATGATGTCTTCTTTGGTGAAATATCTCTTTATGTCTCTTACCTATTTTCTAATTGGATTGTTTGTTTTCTGACTGCTGAGTTTTAAGCATTCTTTATATATTCTACATACTAGTTCTTTGTTGGATACATGGTTTGCAAATATTTTTTCCCAGTATGTAGCTTTCTTTCATCTTTTTAATGCTTTTTAATGGGCCTTTAACAAAACAGAAGTTTTACATTGTGATGAAATCCAATTTATTAGTTTTTCCTTTTATGGGTGATGCTTTGGGTGCTGAACCTAAGAAATCTTTGCATAGACTACATCCTGAAGACTGCCTCCTGTTTTTTTCTAGATGTTTTATAGTTTTATGTTCTGCATTTAAGTTAATGATCCATTTTGAGTTAATTTTAGTATAAGGTGTAAGACTTAGAGGCTCTTTTCTTTTAGCACCATTTGTTGAAAAGGCTATTTTCCTCCATTGAATTGGTTTTGTACCTTTGTCAAAAATTAGTTGAGCATATTTGTGTGGGTCTATTTCTGGTTTCTCCATTCTGTTCCATTGATGTATGTCTCTCTGCCAATAACATACAGTCTTGTATGTTATCTTGTATCTTGTATGCCAGTAACATACAGTCTTACTGTAGCTATACAGTGATTACTGTAGCTTGATATGAGATGGACTGATTCCTCCCAATTTATTCTTTTTTTTTCCAAAATTGCTATTCGTATGGTTTGGATGTTTGTCTCATCTAAACCTCATGTTGAAATTTAATTCTCAATGTTGGAGGTGGGGCCTAATGGGTGTTTGGGTCATAGGGGTGGATCTCTCATGAATAGATTAATGGCCTTCTCTGGAGTGAGTGAGTTCTCACTCTATTAATTAATTCCTGTGAGAGCTGGTTGTTAAAAGAGCCTAGCACACCCTCCTTTCACTCTATTAATTAATTCCTGTGAGAGCTGGTTGTTTAAAGAGCCTAGCACACCCTCCTTTTCCTTCTCTCTCTCACAGTGCCATCTCTGCACACTCTGGCTCCCTTTTGCCTTCTGCTATGAGCAGAAGAAGCCTGAGGCCCTCATCAGATGCAGATGCCCAATCCTGAACTTCTAGCCATGAGGATCATTAGCCAAATAAACCATTTTTCTTTATAAATTACCCAACCTCTAGTATTTCTTTATAGCAACACAAAACAGACTAAGATAGCTATTGTAGTTTCTTTGTCTTTCCACATAAATTTTAGAATAATATTGTCTATAGCTACAAAAATTTTTGCAAGATTTTAAAAGGAATTGCATTAAACTCATATATCCTTTTGGGGAGAATTGACATCTTTACTATGTTGAATCTTTCAATCCATGAACATAGTACATCCCTCCATTTATTTAGCTGTTCTTTGACTTGCTTCATCTTCTTTTTGTAGTTTTCAGCATACAAATCCTGTAGATTTACACTTAAGTGTCACTTCTTTCTCTTTTTGTAGTTGCACATGGTATTGTATTTTTAATTTTGGCATCCAGTGTTCATTTCTAGTACATAGGAATACAATAGATTTTTGTATGTTTATCTCGTATTCTGTGACCTTGCCAAATTCACTTATTAGTGCTAATACTTTGTATATCCCTTAGGAACTTCTACAAAAACAATCATGTTATTTTCAAATAGGAACAGTTCTTATTTCTTTCTTTTTAATCTATATGCCTTTTAATTTCTTGCCTTATTGCACTGGCTAAAACTTTCACAGCACTATGTCGTATAAAAGTGGTGACAGCAGACATTCTTGCCTTTTTTTCACCTAAGGGGAAAGCATTCAGTCTTTTACCATTAAGTATAATGTTAGCTGTAGGGCTCTTGTTGATGCTTTTTATCAAGTTGAGGAAATTCTCTTCTATTCCTATTTTTCTTTGAATTTTATAATGGATGAGTATTGAATTGCTGTTTAATGGTGTTGACTTTTCAGCATCAATTGACATAATCATGTTAATGTGGTGGACAATTGGTAAATGGATAAACAAACTGAACAGTCATTTATACATTGTATGGATGTACCAGTTTGTTTACCCGTTTACCAGCTGAAGAACATTTGAGGAGTTCCCAGTTTTTGGTGATTATAAATAAAGTCTGTATAAACATTCACAAACAGGTCTTTGTATGTACATGGTTTTCGTTTCCCTTGGGAAACGAAATGCTACTCAAGTACCTATGAGTAGCATTGGTAGGTTGTATGGTGAGTACATGTTTAACTTTATAAGAAACTGCCAAATTATTTTCAAAACTGTGTGTCATTTTGCATTACCAAGCAATGTATGTGAGTTCCAGCTTTTCAGCCAGTACTTGATATTGTCAGGTTATTATTGTTAGTGTTGTTATTTTAGCTGTTCTATTTGGTGTAAGCCTCAGACTTTCAGAGCCCTTCTTTCTGTCTCTGCTGTCTCCCCTCCCTGAGTGCCAGAGAAGAGTGGGTATCGTCACAATAGCAATTTTCCAGAAGCAGAAGGGTTGGCTCTCATAATTCCCCTGCATATTACGAACTTCAGAACTGCAGCTTTTAGGAAGGTGTGACAAGTGTGTTGAGCAGAATTAGGACAAGGGCTAAGGCAGAAGGAGTAGTGGGGGCATAGAGTTGGCAGTGAAGGGTCTGGGTGGCAGCAGTCCACAGTGGCAGAACCTGGAAGACTTCAACTGTTCAGGGCTTGTTGGTAGTGGGAAAGGATCACTTGGGGCCCAGGAGGGGGCCCTGCTGCCTCAGCACTGTCCCTATGCCCTCCTAAGGTTTCCAGCCGTTTCTGACAGAGCAAACTGCAATCTCTTGAGATTCCTGCAGGCCCCAGGGAGGGAGAGAGTGGCCTCAGAACCAGAGGCCTGGCTTGGGGCCCAGTTATGTGACACCTGAATCTTGGGGAGAGTGGCTGTGGGACCAGGCCCCTGGGGCCTCCTGGGACAGCTGGGGACAGAGAGGAGCAGCTCAGGTTTCATCACTGCTTGGTGTGTGACCTGGGCTCCACCCAGGCTGCAGAATAATGCCAGGCCTTAGCCCCTGAGGTGTAACACCTTTCACCAAGAAATTGCTGTCCTGCTCCTGTTCCACAGGGACTGCTCTGGCCTGGACTTTGGGTCCTGTGGCCTAGAAGTAAAGGGACCAGATTTTAGTCAGGCCTCAGGACAGAAGCCGAGCCAGTCAAATCAGGAGGAGGTGCGTGAGGTATGTGTGTATGTCTGCGGGTGGGGAGAGGTGTCATGTGGGGGACCAGGAGCTGCCCAATATTGAGTTTCAGTTGATTAGCTGTATGTCCTTGGACAAGTAATTTAGCCTTTTTAGGCCTGGGTTTGCCTGTTTTTGGCTTAAAGATTTGGACTAGTTGGGTGATTTCTCAATTGCATTGAATGTCAACATAACTTGGGGCTTGTTTTTATAAACTACAGATCCCTGGGCTCCACCACAAACCTCTTGAATCAGCATCTGTGGGCCTGGGGTCCTGGCTTCTGACTGTGTAACGGGCTCCAGCCGGTTTTTATATGGCCAGCGTGTCACTGATATCTCCAGACCCACTTACCTAAAAGTTCACTAAGTCCAGCAGCCCAGGGCAACCTCTGGAAGACAGAAGGCAGGTCCAGGAAGGTGGGAGGAGCCAGAGAAGGGGAGCCAATTAGTGGCCAGAAAGGGGGGGGCGGAACCAGAGAAAGGGAGCCAATCAGTGGCCAGGAAGGTGGGAGGAGGCGCCACTCAGTGGCCTGAAAGGAGGAAGAGGAGCCAGAGAGGGAGAACCAATCAGGAAAAGAGGATGCAGCAGGCTGGGATTCTTCTTGCAAGGGAAACTGAAGCTTTAGTCTGGGCAGGCAGCGAGCTGGACTGGTATCGGAGGAAAAGAAGTCTCTACTTTGGCCGCTGCTGTTTGAGTGTGTCTCCCAGCACCATAAGGCAGGTAGAGAGGGCATCACCTTGGTGGTCAGGAGAAGGGTTAGCACATCCCTTGTCTGTTTGGAGGCTCAAAGTGGGTCTAGGAGAAACTATGTCTGCCTAGAGGGAAAACATATCCTGCAAACCCTAAATAGCCATGGGGAATAAATAGCACTTGGGCCCCGGCCAGTCCACCCCCTCTGTGTCTGACTCAGCTTGGAGGACAAAAGAGTCCCCGTCTGCTGCTTACTGGCTTTGCGTGTGTGAGCGAGTCACTCAACCTTTCTGACTCTGTTGCCTCCTCTGTAAAATGGGAATAATAATCACACCTGCCCCACCCCCACAAGGCATTGCTCTGGGCATCACCTAAGACAAGGGAGGCGATGGTGCTCCATCACCTGCAGCGTGCTGTGCAATCCTTTGGGGTTAAGCACTACCAGAACCCCAGGGAAGAAGGGATGGATGGACAACCCTCCCTTGTCCCACAGTTGGAGCATCTGTGCTTAAAAGAAAACCACTCGAGTGATTATCTTTTATAAATTGTTAGACCGTCACAGATAATCTTCCCTCTGACAACCCACCTCAGTTTCAGAGGCAACAGGTACTATAAGAATTTGGTGTGATCTTTTCACACTTAAAAAATTTTTTTCACATATATGCGTGGGCTCATGGGAAATATATATTGTGTGTCAGCATGTGTGTGTGTATGTGTGGCTTGTTTTACACAGAGGGTGGCGCAGTTACATATCACACAGCAAAACGCTTTTTTTAAACTCAGGTTGTATGTTTAAAATCTAATTAGGTCATTTCTTTTATGTGCCATGTACTGTTCTACCTTGAGTCTCTCTCACATGTCATCTGTTTTGCCTGTTGTTAAAATTGTTATGGCACTAAATCATGTCTTTTCTTACCCCAGGCACAGCCAGATGGGCTGCCGTTGGTTGCAAGCCTGGAAGAGTCAGAAAGAAACCTGAGGCTGTCAAGGAAGCTTGAAGGTGGGTCTTCAACTCTGGGCCCAGAGGGAGCATCACCTCCACCTGGCCTTGTCTGGTTCATCTACAGCCTGCAGGAAGAGGGGGGGAGAGGGGGGGAGAGGGGGAAAGGGAGAGAGGAAGAGAGGGGAGATGAAGAGAGGGGAGAGGAAGAGAGAGAGAGGGAGAGGGACAGAGGGAGAGAGGGAGAGGAAGAGAGGAGGGAGGGAGGGAGGGAGAGAGAGAGAGAGACAGAGAGAGAGAGAGAGAGAATGAATAAGTGTGAATATGAGAACACTGCCCTGCTCCAAGCTCACCTCACACCTCTGTCTGGAGAAAGTGGAATGGGAAGAAGCGGGTGGCATCCCCATCATCCCAGGGTGCCCTGCTGCCAAGAAGACCTTGGGTGTCCATCCTTCTAGTGCAGTAGCACCACCAGCAACCCCCTGCTTCAGGTGAAGGTTGCAAACTTTGAAATCAGGATGGGCTACATAATTTGCAGAGCCCAGTGCAAATAAAAATGCAGGGCACTTGTTCAAGAAATATTAAGAATGCGTTAGGCCAAAGGCAGACTCCTTCTAAGCATGTGGCTCTGCCTGACTGCACATGTGGCATTCCCATGAAGCTGGTCTGGCCTGAAACTGTCCTCCAGGGGAGTCCTGTTAAGGTGTGGGAGAAAGTGTGCAAAGCTCTGCAAAGGGAAATAGCTGTCATTTTGGAAGCCATCAGGATCTTTTAGTGCAGTCAAGCTGAACCATGGAGGTCATCACAGTTCCAGACAGGTTGAGAAGCTCTGATTTGTCCCCTCTAGGGTGGGAGCTAAGGACTGGAGAGGCTGCAGAGCCAGCAGGTAACTCCGAAGGCCAGGGTGCAAATCCTCCCTCTGTCCCTGATGAGCAGAATGACCATGAGTTTGTTGCTTAGCTTCTCTGTGCCTCAGTTTCCTTATTGAGATAACGTGCTCTCTTCACAGGATTGCTTAGAGGATTAACCCTAAAACTATGGAGAAACTGAGGAACCCAGTCCCTTTTCCTGGCACGCAGTGCTCGATAGTCTTGGCTGATGTTAGATATCCTTTCTGTGCACTTTGGTTTCTTTCCTAGGAGAATATAATGGGGAAAGGTAGAGGGCGAAGATGAATCTAGAGTCAGGAGTGTTGGGTTCTCAGCTACTAACCACCTGCTTACCAAGGCAGGTCGGTCTCGCCCTCACAGTCTCATTTCTAAAATTTAAAGGCGAGGGTGAGGTATGACTTTCCTTCCAGCTTTATAATTCTGTTTCCAAGGAATTCCACCTGTTCTTCTCATTGGCTTATCCCAGTGTATTAGTCTGTTTTCATGCTGCTGATAAAGAAATACTTGAGATTGGGCAATTTACAAAAGAAAGATGTTTAATTGGACTTACAGTTCTACATGGCTGGGGAAGCCTCACAATCATGGTGGAAGGCAAGGAGGAGCAAGTCACATCGTACGTGGATGGTGGCAGGCAAACAGAGTGAGCTTGTGCAGGCAAACTCCAGTTTTTTAAAACCGTCAGATCTCATGAGCATCATTCACTATCATGAGAACAGCACAGGAAAGACCCACCCCCCATAATTCAATCGCCTCCCACCGGGTTCCTCCCATGACATGTGGGAATTGTGAGAGTTACAATTCAAGATGAGATTTGGGTGCGGACACAGCCAAACCGTATCACCGGCATTTATTTTCTCTGAGGTTTAAGAAATTTCTCCTCTTATCTGACTGTAAATCTTTCTCATTAGTTAAAATCCACTTCTTTTTCTGCTTTTGTGTGAAAACAATAGGTTGGTGGCCCATTTTATAGACTCAGAAACTGAGGCACATTGAGAACCATCTGCTCTCCAGACGGAACAACCCCAGTCCCTTTAATATGCCCTTGCATTGGCCTTTCACTTCCCTGTGACCCCTGCCCACTGCCTGTCCCAGGAATCTCCACCTCTCCTGCATTTAGACACCCACGTGGGTCACTCCTGCCAGCCAGGCACAGAGCTCGGCCCCTCAGATCTGTCTAATACTCTCAGTGCCTGTAGGAAAGCAGATCTTGTTACATATCTTGTTTTCCAACTAGAGAAGCAGGCTCCTGGAGCCCAGACTGAGGGTGGAGTGAGGTTCCAGTGGGTAACTTGTGAGACCCCCTAATGCGGTGAGGCAGAGCCCCAGACCCTGCAACCCTTTGGGGGTCAGCCTTTCCTGGAGAAAAACTTTCCCCCAGCACTTACCAAGCCTCTCACCCGGCAGCTGGCGTAAGGGATGTTGCTCCTCTGCCAAACCCACACTCTGGGGTGAACGCAGCTCTGGGCATGCCAGCTGCTGCCCTGGCCCCTTTACTGCCACTCAGGAAGACACACGTGAGTGCCATTCGGTGCCAGTGTCCTTGTCAGGGAGCAAGCTTCAAACCTGTCCCCTTCCTACAGGCCCCTGCTCAGCACCAGCACTAGCACAATGCAGAATCAATATCTCTTTGGGGGGATTATTGAATGTCCATCTCCTCTACTAAAATAAACTCTTTGGGTGGTGTGGGGGCATGACTTGTTCACGGAAATATGCCCAGAGCCTAACACACTGCCTGGTAGATGCAGGTGCTCAGTACACATTCAGTGTGCGAGCACATGGATCTGCTGTGATTTATTTATTTTTTAAAATTTATTTATTTATTTATGTTTTGAGACAGGGTCTCACTCTGCCACCCAGGCTGGAGTGCAGTGGCACAATCACGGCTCTCTGCAGCCCTAACCTCCTGGGCTCAAACAATCTCCCACCTCAGCTTCCCAGGTAGCTAAGACCACAGGGGTGTGCCACCACACCCAGCTAATTTTTGACTTTTTGTAGAGATGGAGCCTAGGAGTCTTGCACTCCTGGGCTCAAGTGCTCCTCCTGCCTTGGCCTCCCAAAGTGTTGAGATTACAGGGGTGAGCCACCACGCCTGGCTCCACTGGGATTTATTGAAAGTCAACCTCTGGCCCAGGCATGGTGGCTCATGACTGTAATCCTAGCACTTTGGGAGGCTGAGGTGGGTGGATAACCTGAGGTCAAGAGTTTGAAATCAGCCTGGCCAACATGCTAAAACCCTGTCACCACAAAAAATACAAAAATTAGCCAGGTGTGGTGGTGCACACCTGGAATCCAAGTTACTAGAGAGGCTGAGGCAGGAGAATCACTTGAGCCCGGGAGGCAGAGGTTGCAGTGAGAAGAAGGAGGAGAAGGAGAAGGGGAAGGGGAAGGGGAAGAAGAGGAAGAAGAAAGAAGAAGAAAAAGAAGAAGATCATCAGCATCTGGCAGATACTGGCCCTTTATTAGCAAATTCCTAGAGGCCCATGTTTCACAGGATTACTACAAGGGATGCCGATTTAGAAAATTGCTATTTTATGTGTCGTGCCATGAGGGTTCATTCATGCAGACAGTGTATACTGAGCACTCACTATGCGCCAGGCCCTGGGCACAGAGCAGTAAAGGAGACGATATCCCTGCCTGCATGGAGGTCCCATCCAAGTGAGGAGACAGTTAAAATGCAAACACAGCTGCACGATATTGTCAGGTGATGCTTTGTGCTGAGAAAGATGAAGTGGCGGGTTGGGAGGGGGGGCGCGGGGATGGAGAGAGTGGGGTGCGTGGAGTGCTATTTCAAATTGAAGGGTCAGCGAGGTCCTGCGGAAGAGCTTCGATTTAAATGGAAGCCGCCGCTGAGAACAAATAGGGAGGATTTGGGGGCATCCCAGGTGAGGAGTGGGATTCAGAAAGAATTCCTTGACATCCCAGGCTCCTTGGTGAGCCAGTGGGGACACACTCTGCTTGCCATCAAAGTGAATTACAAACTCATCCAGCTCAGAGCCTGCGCCAGAGCCATCTGGGCTGCAGTGGCCTCTTTCAAAGAAAAGAGTTCACCAACAAGAAAGCGGTACGGCATCCTGATGAGGACCAGGGCTTTAGAGTTCTAGGCAGAAACGTGTTGAAATCCCAGCTCAGGCACGATCGAGGTTCATGTCTTAATCGCTGTGAGCTTTGGTTTCTTTATATGTAGTTGGGAATGATAACAGCGCCTCTCCCAGAGGGTTGTTATAAAGCTTCTAAGAAACAGCCTGTGTAAAGTGCTGAGCACAGATAAATAGGAGCCTTTACTGCCATTGTCATTCTCTTGGCTCCCAATGGGGTTCTTTGCTTCTCTCTCATTCATTCCACAATAACTGAGCACCTACTCACTGTCACGCTCTAGATGCTAGGATGCCCAGAGGAGGAACACCTGAGCTATCCAAAGGTGAGCCAGAGAGTGCACCCATCCAAGAGGCAGGGCCCTGGGCATTCCTGCCATTCCAGCTGTGTGAACTCGGCCATGTGGTTTCATCGCCCTGGGCCTCAGCTTTCCCCACTGCAGATGGAGGACTCGGCTTGCCAACCACTAGGTGATTCTCCTGCTGAGCTCCTGGGCTGAGGCTGGGGCACAACTGTGGAGGGATCATCTGTAGCTCCAGGTGACCTGAGCCTCAGAGACAGCTGACCTGCCTGGCCCAAAGGCTCTGCTGGGAGTGAGGTGGGAAGAAGCCCACGTCTCGGAAATGGGCCAGGGTCAGTACTGGGGCCTGCCACCTCCAAGGACCCTCCCACATCTGCCAAACCTCCTCATGGGGAGGCAGAGGGCACAGCCGCTGAACATGCCTTCTGAGGAGAAGCGTGCAGTGTACTCAGGATCTCGGCAGATATCGGGGGTTCTGAGGGGTTGTAAGAGGGGCCACTAGGGACAGGGCTCCAAGGGGCCTGATGAAGCTGGAGACAGAGGAAGAAGATGTCTAGGAGAAGGGGTTTGTCCTATTTCCTCCCAAGTGCCATTTGCACTTCTAACGCTGGGAGTCATTCATTATACAGCTGATTTGGGGCCACCACACTTTCCTTGCCCTTCTCCTCCTTTCCTACCCCTCACCCCAGGAGTGCTTTGGACCCTGGAATGACCCCTTCTAATTTTTTCTCCTTCCTCTCGTATTAAAACTTACCTTTACCGGCCGGGTGCGGTGC